CTTCTGCTGTTTGCCAATAAATCGCAGAGAAATTTGAATTGCTAATTCTATGTTTAAACATCAATTTATGATGCTATCTTAATTGTTTACTAAAGTTGTTAATGTGCTAAAATCAATTCTGGTTATGCGAAGATGGAAGCCCAAGGAAATCTGAATTGATGGCAAAAATAAATGCCAAAATATTCCCAGAGCATACTCTTCTCCATTAGGTTTCTGGCCGTTACTCTTCTGGCACTTTGCTGCACTCGTGTGAAAGAGTGAGGGAGATCATAGTTTAGATGGAAGGTCGTCATCATTCTCCAATCTTGAGACCAATAATCACATCATTATGTGTTATCTTCTATCGTTCTGTTACATATCCAAACAGCCCTTTGGCACAAGTCTTCTATGCGTGATCCCATGTCCAAATTCTATAATTTGTTTCCATAATAATACTGTTTTGGTTGTCAAATATTATTGGCGACATTAGCACATCATTAGGGGATTTGTTCGTTTGGTTTTTTTCTACTGTTTTCTGGTTTTTGGTGAGACCTTTTTTCTAACCATTTGTTGGTCCATTATGGTAATGGGCCAAAAGCGGCTTTTCGGACTCCCGAGATGTTGCAGAAGTTGGAAACAAATTATAAAATATTTCTCATTCGACTGGGGAATGGGGCATAAATTTTCATAAATTAAACGATGTGGGAAAACTAAGCCCGAAACCCCCAGGGATGGCCATCCAGGAATTGACAAGCTTTCAGCATTTGTCCGGCGCGTTACGCGACGCCATCGATGGCTATCTGTGTGCCCCACTGTGTCCCAGGTCCGCAGCCCCAGCTGCGATGAGCTGCATACCAAATGAGGCCCCGCTCGTATCGGCTTGCTATCACGTGTGGGCGCCACTCTCCAAGTGGTTCGTATTGGAACGGAGTAGAGTGGAGTGGATACCTCAACATAATGCAACACCTTCTCTCCATCCCCCGCCCCATTCCCCTATAATGTGTGCAAGATTTAATTTCCCCCCTTTCTGCCGCGTATCTATCCGTTTATTGTATCGTTTAAGACGCTTTCTTTGCCCCATTCTATCGAGTATCTGTATCTGGAATCATTAATCAATTCCCTCTTTCGTTGGGGCGTGGCTGGTAAATATTTTGACCAATATTTCGTGCCAGTTTTTGTTTCTCTCTTGTTTTTTTCTCTGAATTTTTAATTTGCTATAAATAGAGCGTGTGATTGGGTCGGTTTTTTCAGATTTTCTGCTTCAGAATTGGTCGTAAACTGTGTAATGCCTTTTGATTGATTGATTTCGTTTTTTTCCAAAGGAATATTGCCAATATTTCGATGTGTAAATGGAACTTGAAGTAGGAACTTGATGGCTGACAGATTGAATTGGATCTCATTGGAGTTTAGGGTCTGTGTTCCACAATGTTCCATGTTCCATGTCCCATGGGCACGGTATTCATGGAGAACTTATTGCTGGTAATATCAGATGGCCATAGTATGTATCTAACCACCTGATTAATGGAGCAGCAACAAGCGAAGCTCAAGTAAACCTCAGATTATGGACGGAACATGATCGTCAGCAGATCGACTGGCAAGAGTATTGCAGGCGTGCTGGTGTTTGTTGTCTGTCAATGGATGACAAAACCAGTGTAAAACCCCATGTTGAGCCCCACTCGCCGCTCGCCGCTCGCCTGCCACATGCTTGGGCAATTTGCCACGCTGTTTAGACTGTATCAAATTCGAAAATAAACCCCAGCTAGCAGCAACAAATTGCCATCGAAAACGTGATCGAGTTGACATTGAAATGTGTTTTTTTTTTGTTGGCAAACAACACATATGTACCATGCCTCGTACTCGCACTGGTATCGCCCTATGAAATCAGCCATAATACTTTCAGAGTATGGAAAACTCAACTGTAGAACAGAACGGAACGAAACGGAACGGAACAGAATAAAACGGAGTGGACCGGATCGAAACGCTTCAATTGATAATGAAACTATTTAATTGAGAGTTCAGCGCCGGAATTAACCCCACCAATTCCACAAAATTGAAAAGCCTCAACATCAATTTGCGTCTCCCCTCGATTTGATTTGAGAATAGGAGCCATATATATGAATACTATTTACCACTCATGCGAGATGACATAAGCCACCAGAGTATTCGGGCGGGGCGGGGGGTTCATAGTTTATTCTTTCGTTCAGCTTCGATTGCGAATTGCTTGACCGACAGGTTCATAAATCAAATCGCAATTCAAATTCAGCTCCCAGCATGGGTGTAAATGCTCCCAGCTCCCGAGATAAAAAACAAGAAACGGCAGTGATTATAGAAAAGCCTTACATATACCATCATCGGAATGGAACAGAGATGATATTATATAGAGATTTTGGTTAGATTTCTGAAAGCTTTTCACGGCCACAAAAGATGAGATATAGATTACTGTGAAACGATTGCTGCTTCTTCTGTTTTCATCTATTTTCTGAGGAGAGAATCCTGTCGATCCTGTCGCTAGAGAAAGACCTTAACCAGTGGTGGACTAACTTGTAGGTAGAAGCAGAAGAGTCACCGATACGAAAGAATCGAAAGGGTGAGGGAGTTCTCCAGGGGAAATCTCTTGGTCGCTTGGCTATTTGGTAATTTGGTTAATTATCGATTGGATTGGCTATTTCTTAAGCGTATTAATCAGATATAATACATATAAATACTTTCACGTTCCTTATTAAAGTAAAAACTATTCCATGAATTTCCGGCTATGATTTTCCCCACCAGAAGACACCACAGAACTCAAGCAGCGCTAGTTGCAGGCAGGCAGCGCTAGTTTATAATAAGAATCTTTGGAGGGGAAACTTCTGTTTTCAGTTCCCCACAGAATAGAATCGGCTCTGCAGAAGCTGTGTTTCTCTATAAACAGTGTTTCAAGTGTTTAGTGACTCTTTAGCAGGGGATCTTTGGAGTGAAACGTCTTTTAATTGCATGTTAATTGCTCTCCAACCAAGACCCAGACCAGACCCGAGAGGAGCTCCACACAAAGAGAGAGAGAGAGAGAGAGCGGGGAACAGTGTGCAGGTCGGTAAAAGATACAAAGAACAGCTAAGAAGGCGAGAGAGGAACTTGGTCAACGTTTAAGTCATTGGGGACTGGGGGACTGGGGGACCGGGGGACTGGACTGCTGTTTGCTCTGTTTCTGTTTCTGTCTCAGTTCTTTCTCTGTTTCTGCTGGTACAAGTAGTCCCCCAGGTTTGGTTTGGTCCGGAGCTGGAGCTGGAGCTGGAGCCAGAGCTGGAGTGCAGGTCCAGGTCTAAAACAGTTGCACTCATTTGTTGTCCCGGTCGTTGTTCTTGTTCTTGTTCGCCATTCTGTTCTGATCTCTCGAGTGCCAGTCAGTACCTACTAAAGTACGTGTGGTTATGGCCCGGCTCTGCTTCTGCTTCTGCCTTTGCCCCTGCCCCTGCCCCGCCTCTGCCCCTGCCTCTGCCTCTGAGTCTTCGTCTGAAAACAAAGACAAGTTTTTCAAGTTTTCCGACAGGGGGCACATGAAGTCATTCAAGTGGAAGCAACAACGAGGCTGGACGGTAGTCAGAGGCGGTGGACAGGCGAAAGGCATTGCTGCCGATGCCGATGCCGCTGCTGGTGCCTCTGGAGCGGAGCTGCTGTCATTCGCACTTGAAGATCAAGTGATATATGTCTGGCTGTCTCCCTGTCCCTCTGTCCCTCTGTACCGCTCTCTACCTCTCGATCGAAGACAAAGTAGAATCTGAAATCGACAGACAGAAAGATAGATAGCCCTGGCACTACACTCGTATATTTACATGGGTATCAAGGCAATGGTCTATGGGGAATCAGTAAGCTTCGATTAGATAAGAATCGGGGCGGGGAGGGGAAGGGGGAGGGGGATCGAGTGGTGCAGAAGGTGTTATAGAACACCACTTCAGGCCACAAGAATTGTGAAATGACAGAGTGCCCTACAAAGTGAAACCACTGAGAGGCCACTAAAAGTGCACTGCAATCGCTGGGTAATCTATAAAAGTGCACCGTTTAATATTCAACAAGTTTGAAAAGCTTCGGCTTGGAAAGTAAACACCAGATTGCCATTGGAAATGATCTAATAATGTTCGTTCTTCTACAAAGTCTTGTTCGGCCTTTGGCTGGAACGTGGAGGCACCTTTATCGCCCTCGCAATGGGGTTTTGTGTCGGTATATTATGGGCTTTTTCCTTGGTGGGGTTCGGGCTACACCCCCCCAGCAAACGCTGAAAAGGGCGAGGCACTGACCCAATTCAAAGCCCACTGAATATTCGTCGGGTCTTTAAAAGTATTCATTGTGGTGGCTCTCTTCCGTGCCATCCGATTCACAGCCAAGTGCTAATTAAACTAATCGAAGGGCTCTTGAGGTGGCAGCCAAATGAAGCGTGCCCTCCAGGGCTGGCTGGTTGCCTCAGTCCAAACCAGATTCAATCAGATCGGATCTGTTCGGACCAGCCAGTGTGCGCATTATGGGTACGGGTACGGGCACGGGCATGGGCATGGAGTATCTGTTTGGCTAACACTGTAATTGGCTAAAAGCATCTAGCAATCTTTATCACGAAACCTGTCACTTGTTGCTGCGTTGCGAGTGTATGCCGAATGGCTGCAACATAACTTTTGGACATAATTAAGCCATCAAAACGAGCTGGCCAGGCCAAAATGCTGGCCATTTGCGTTGACAGTTGTCACAGAGCACACCGGCACACGGGCACACGGGCACACGGGCACGCGAAAAACACTAATTAATTAAAATAAACTACTTAAAATGTCGACAATTTCTGTTTTGGCATTTGGTTGCAACATTTGTGGGATCGTGTGATGATATCTTCATTTGTTGGACTTCATTCCGAAGCCACTCGCATGGGAAACAGCCCCAAACAATCTCCTGACAACCAGGAGCCCCCCCTCCCCGCCCCCAGGAAACCCCCTCGCCATGGAAACACATCAACAAACATCGACCGGGCGTTCGCAGTCCAGTTTTCATTCAATCCTCTTGCCATGCAGTACTCCTGGCTGCCGCAGGAACGCCGTGAGGTGATCGTCCGCGAGAAGCCGCCGTTGGTCATCTCAAGCAAGCGGTTTGCCCGCATCCAGGCCAATGCCAGCCAGGCGGCCCAGCAGGAGCGCCAGTACCGGCTCCAGCTACGTGGCCAGGCGGAGGAGCAGCTGCGCGCCGGGGGCGAGGAGCTGCTGCGTCAGTTCGGGGGCAGAAAGCTGTGCATCACCAAGGCGGAGGAGTGCCGCAGGGAGCTGGAGCAGCTGCGGGAGCAGGAGCTGGAGGCCAAGCGACTGGCGGAGGAGGAGAGTGCTGCCTCCCGGCGGGAGGCACAGAGCAGGCAGAAGGAGCGCATAGCGGCGGCCCAGCAGCTGCTGGAGCAGCTGCGTCCGGGGCCGCGGGAGCTGCAGTGTGCCAGGCTCCAGAGCGAGGTCCTGCGCAGTGTCCAGGCCCAGCGGCAGGTGCAGGAGACCTTCGCCCAGGCCCTGGAGCGGCAGGCGGAGCGGGACAGGCGCATCTACCACGAGCAGGTGCTCAACGGGATAGAGGAGGCCCAGCGGCGTCGGGCCGAGCGCTGCCAGCAGCTCGGGGAGCACAAGCAGGACCTGCTCAGCGCCATCGCAGAGCGGGAGAAGGAGCGCCAGGCGGCCAAGGCCGAGGAGCACGAGCAGGCACGCCAGGAGCGGGAGCGGAACCAGCGGCAGCTGAGGGAGCAGCAGCGCAGGGACGAAGAGATGCGGACCTCCAGGCGGCGGCAGAAGCGGGAGGAGGCTCTCGCCTCCCTGGCCATGGCGGAGCAGCGTCAGCAGCGGCTCCTCATGCTGGAGGAGGTGGAGCAGGTCCAGTGCGATGTCCACAACGAGGCCAAGGGGCGCCTGGAGCAGATGAAGCGGGACAGGACCCGCAGCCGCGTCCAGCAGCGCATCCAGCGCAATGAGAAGCTCGCCCAGGAGCAGGCCCCTCGCCTGCACTACAGCGCCGGAGCGGATGAGGCGCGCCACGAGCGCCAGCTGGTGGAGATGCAAAAGGCCCACAGTGCGGAGCAGGCCAGGCGCCGTCAGAGCCGGGAGAGGGTGAAAAACTCCCGTCTGGCCATTCAGCGGGAGGCGGAGCAGCTGGCCCAGGCCTCCAGAGAGCAGGGAGAGGCCGACAAACATAAAGCCGTCGATCTTCGCCTGAAGAACGACCTCGTCCACGTGCAGTTCAAGCGGCAGCAGCGTCAGGAGCAGCTCCAGCGCATGCGGCAGCTGCGCCAGCAGCTGGACGAGCAGGTGCGGCAGCGGCACGAGGAGGAGACGCGCCCGGACACCAACTACAACCGGGAGGCGCAGCTGGAGTGTCTGCGCGAGGATGCCTTCTTCTTCGACTACGCCCGCCAGCTGATGGACACGGCCCGGGCCAGGGGCTGTCCGCTGAAGCCCTTTGTCCGGGCCGTGGGGCAGTACAAGAACGAGAACCGCATTGGGGCGGGCATCCGCGTGCCACCGCATCTGGTGACGCGCCTGTCCATGGGCCGACGCACTGCCGGCGACAGCCCGGCCGAGGCGGCGGTCAAGGCCCAGTCAAGTGCGGAGGAGGCCAAGCTGGCCGAGGAGGAGGAGCAGCAGCGGCGGAATATCGAGGAGAATCTCAAGAAGATCGAGGCCTTGGTGCTGGCCGAGGCCACAGTCAAAGCAGAGGTCCCGAAGGGATAAACCCTGGCTAAGGGATCACTCGCTTGCCACTTGTATCTTTAGATCCCCCTCTACACCTCTACACCTCTACACACACGCACAATAAAGAGAAACCCCACAACCAACAACCCGTGGAACTGTGCCCTTAACTTGACTTTGTTTCTGGCTGTAACTTGAAGTCGAAATATGGTATTCCATTACGGGGGCAACGGCGACCCGAATACGAGTCGTATTGAATTGCGATTAAAAATACGAATATACGAAATCCAATTCGCTGCAGGATCGATTTCCAGTGCCATTACTCACTAAAGTAATCGAATTCCTCCATTAGCGGTGTCGTGTCCCGTGGGTAAGTAACGACATCATCACCAAAAGATACAAGATACATGCAAGGAGCTAGCTCTCGTTGAGCCTCTCCCTGGGTGTCGGGTGAAAGCTCCTACGTTTTACTCGAGATAAAGATGTAGATTTAGATAGATATATGGTTTGTATAGATGAAAGTTTCCTACCCCCAACTGCACTCATCGTTCTGCCAGCAAAGTGTGAAGAGAATCTTTGGAATGCTCCCAAATTTAAACAGCGGGAAGTCTGATAGTCCCTGAGGACTAGGCCTGGACAGACTTGGCTCTATCGACTCGGCATTTGATGCTGATCAAGAATATATACACTTAATGGGGTCGGAAACGCTTCCTTCTGGGCGTTACACACACCCCCTGTCTCCACAAATCTACTATAGATATATGTATATGTAGATCACAGAAGTTTAAGCCATTGAGTAAGCGAGTAAATTGAGTAAATTATCTGGTTCGACTTGTCACTCAAATGGGGTTTGCCAGAGGTTCGCTCTGGGCCCTGGGCTTTGGGCTTGGGGTTCTGTTTGCCTTCTTGGCAAACGTCTGGCAATGAATGGGTGGCGTGGCGTGGCGGGGCGGGGCGGGTCGGTAGTGGGGGCATTTATGTGTATTAGTATCGGTGTCTATTTGCCTGACGCTTAAAAGTTTTTATCTTTCTGTGGTTCTGCGGCTCTGTGGCTCTGTGGCTCTGTGGTTGTGCTTGTGTCGTCGTGAACTTGTTGATTTTAGATACAAAGTCGAGTCGTTGTCGTTGTTGCTGTTGCTGTTGCCTGTTACTGCTGCTGTCAGCGTTGCTGTCGCTGTACGTTGTATTTGCGCAACCAAAAAACAACAGAAAACAAAATACAATTCAGTTCTACCGCCGAACTGAACCTGAACCTGAAGGTTAATTGTATCTTCTGCTATGCTTTTTGTGCATTTTGTGTGTTCGAAACGAAACGAAACGAAACGAAAGCAAAGCCAAATTCAGCCCAAAAGGAAGCCAGACATTTATGAAATATTGTGTCCACACATTCGACTGTTCTCGGAACCGATGTTTGAATTATCGTATGAACTGGGGCGGTAGACACAGGTAGGCTGCTCTGTTCCCTTTGTTGTTCTTCCAGCCAATTAGTTGAAGGATTTGGCAGCTAAACTGGTTATGAGAGAACACACGACTAATTGTGTTTAATGATTTGGCAAATGAAGCGATTCGACAGCAGAAAGTCTCGTCTTTTTGTTTCGTTCGTGCGACAAAATGTGGTACAACCGAGTGGTTTCCAGGCGGAATACTTCCTATTTCCTATACCTGTTCGTGGGCTCTGAAGCTCGGCGGATGATCTAACCTTCTGTTGGTTGACCAAATTATGGGGTTTGGCCTAAAAGGTTTCACCATTCAAATATTTACCCACAAAAGTGTGAAGTTTTCTTCTACCAAAGATGTAAATGGGAACCAAGACTTACCTAAAAGTAGAAAAAAAAACAATTGTTAAACATAAGAGGGTATAAATATACCTAATATATATGTATATGCATTCGGGATTAACTTTGATCAAATGATGTCCATTATATACTCATATATCTCCTACAAAAAAAAAACCTCCACTAAAATAAAAATAAACTTTTTTTGTCGAGCAAAATGTACTACAATTCCCCAAACATTTTAATGGCTCATTAAAAAAAAACAAGGCAGACAAACAATTCCATGAAATTTAAGTAGCACACAGAATCATAAAAACAAAAGACACATGTGGCATCGAAGGCATTATCTCTCTGTCTCTCTCGCTCTCGCTCTCTTACACAACCTCTTGCGGCAGAGCGGAGCATTCAAGAAAAAGATCGCTAAAGATCGACAGAGAGACGAACGAATTTGTATCTAGCGCGAGTCGATTGGAACTAATTGCCTTGACATTTCGCTTGGATAACCCATAACCACCCCTTCCCCACCCCAAATACTTCCAGTTGAGATGGCAGTCGTAGGGTTCTGCAAAACACTTGACAGCAATTGAGTGTGACTCGCAACATGGCGCTAGTCCCCACTACCCACTCCCCACTCCCCGGAAGACCACTTAGAGTATTTGTAATGCCATGCGAAATTATCAGGGCGCCATGGGAGGTATTTCATGCTCTGGCACATTGCAGGAGGAATCGTTAGACAATTGATTACATATTTCAAAGATTTTACAGATTTTAAGCGTTTTACGAGCAGCCCAGCACACGACAAGTGGTGTCAGGGCCGTGCCAGCAGCCAGATAATGCAGAAACCTTCAGACAAACAATAAATAGAATAACATTACAATCAAGGAATCGTGTCTTACAAAACTTGTGCTTTGTGCTATGAAAATAAAAGTAAAGCACAAAACATAGAGCTTGAAACGATTAATCGTAATCTGGGCAGCGCAGCTCTTCCGCTTTTGTATTGCACGGGTACTTGGACTCGTGTACTTATAAATACTGTATTGTACATCCGTAATTAATCAAATTCTGCTTCGAAATGTGCATACAAATAAATGACATTCGCATTCGCATTCGCATTGTGTGAGAAATAAGCAGCAGTGGCGGCAGGAACGGAACCCAAAGCTGGCTTTTATAATAAAAATGTTTAAAATTTACGAGACAAAGGCGCAGCACTGACGCGGCAGCATGTTTGTCGACGGCGGCGCGGGGAGATACATACATATATATTCGCATGGGACTTTCGGTAAGTGTTGGTAAACATCAGAAAAGAGAGAAGCTGCAGAGGGCACAGTGGGCCAAAAACAACAGGCCTTGTTTGATGGTTGTGTTTTTGAACAACAGTTTTTTCTTTCTAGTCTTAGCCCTGGTCTATAATTTATGTTTTTGGCTGCATTTAACCGGCAGGCAGGCAGGCGGGCAGGCAGGCAGGCCACCGATCGCATTTGGTAGTCGTGCCCGGTCGTTTGGGCCATGGAAATTTGACAGAGGCCCGGACGGACTTCCTTGGCCAGTTGCCGTTGGCCCGCTCCGTTCCATTCCGTTCGGTTTGTGTTCCATATCGCCCATTGAGCATCGCAACGCATAAATCAAACTTTGGTCTCTCGGCGCAGAGGTTTTTCTTCAGACACAGCCACAGACACAAACAAATTGTCGGGTATTCAAAAATGTTTGGCTATATCAAGTTGCGCTCCAGCTTCTTGGAAGTTGGTCGGTCCGGGCCGCTGGTTGGACCCACAAATTTATTGCCTTTTAATGCTGCAAAAACTTCTCTTCTCTCCTCTGCTGTGTCCCCTCTGTGGCGTTGACACTGTAGCGGTAAATGCTGATAAATTAATTCGCTGCAACGCCGTGTTGCAACGCTGCAGCATCGTTGCATGTGGCAGATGGACGCTTCAGGTGAGTCAGCGTCAGCGTCAGCGTGCCCCCAAAAAAGGTTCGACAAGAAACTTCCACAAAATGTCAAAATAACGGGCCAAAAGGGTTTGTGAAAGCTTTTTTTTTTTTTTAGCTTGCGAAAAAGGTTTTTTGGAAAGTCTTCCGCCAAATAAAAAAAGAAGTCCATATATCGGGGAATATTTCATGCACAGAAAATGTCTTCTAAGAATATGCGAGTATTCGACATCCGTCAATGACCGACCCGTCGCCCGGCAGAACGCAGAAGAACTCAATGTTAATCTCTTTGGAGCCCCCAAGTGTCGGATCAACATTTTTTGTAATGAATAAACCTTAACAAAAAAAGAACAAAGAAAATAAGTTGAAGAAGTTGAAGAAACTCTTCCTGTTCCGTTGTTGTTGTTGTTGCTTGTATTTTTCTCAGAGATGAGTCTTCTAATTAAAAGAAATGTTTAGTCATTAGGCTGTAATTTCACTTGAGGTGAAAGTCAGAGCTTCCAGTCGAGAGGAGAGACGAAAGACAAAGCGAAAGACACTCGTAAATCATCATCTGAGCGGCAATTAAACAGAGTGGGAAAGAAAAACACTTAATAAATTACCGCAATTCGACACGCCCACTTTGTAAAAACAAAATAATACTCGTAATAATTATAATAATAATAATAATGATAAACAGCGTGCCAAAGGGGGAAGCCATAAATGGATGAATGGACGAATGAATGAATGTGAATACACCCAAATCGCATGTTCATCTACCAGATATTACTCACAAAATAATCGCAACTCGTTTTTGCATCAAGTACTTTGTGTTTTCAATTTCCATTTGGAGGGCCCTTCATATTTATTGCCCACGCATCTGCCTTTTTGGCAAGACTCTTGGCCCGGCTCTGAGAAATGGCTCAGATATGAAGTGGCAGTAGATAGAAATCGCTTTGATGCAGACAAAGAAAGTACTTTTCGGAGATGTTTGAGATGAAAGTGGAAGATATTCGGATCAGTTTGTGATTTATGGACATTTTTATTTCTAAAGTTACAGAGTTTATTAACAGATCGTTGTTCTCTTAATATCCCCTGGAAAACTGGAAAACAAAAGCTGAGTGGAGCTGTCAAGATCGATCGATTCTGCTTACAATTGCTCATTCCTTTGGTATTCGGTGCGCGAAATTCGAAGACCTTTCGATTAGATATCCATAACGGGGATACACAGATACGACACATACAAGCAGAGACATGTACGTACAGGTGCGTACAGGTACGTTCGTACTTTGGCCGCTGAGGGCCGGGCCGCACCTGTTGCACTGCTTTGCCAAATCGATAAGGCTTTTCTTTTGTCGTTGT